TGTCTGTCAATCCTTTGAAGATACCTAAAGATAATTCTTTTGAATTCCTTATCAGAGAGTTCCAATGCTGCTTCTTCCTCAGGGATGTGTTCTGGGCCTGTATCTTATTCCCTTATTTCTATCACTTTATCTTGCTTCTTTGTGTGGACTGTGAATGGTCTGTTGTCTGCAAGACATCATGGTGGTGTTGTATTAAGAGCTCTGTTAACTGTTTGTGAAGAGCAGCCAAGGGTAATTCAGGCTTTTCTTGGTGGTTTTTTTTATTATTGGCCCATTGGTGGAGAAGGAGGTGGTGGCTGTCTCTCAGTAAGTGAAGTTGCAGGAGGTGTGGGTGTAGTTGTGTCTTTTGGGGACTGTCATTGTCTCCTACTCAATAAGACAAAAATTACAACTGAATAACCATTAAAAAACTAAAAGCACATGGAAAAAAAGCACACCATGTAATCACACAGGAACAGTAACCAAAAAAAGAAGGGAAAATATAGAAGAAAAAAACAAGAAAACCTACAATATCTGGGTATAGGGCAATAAGAGAGAAAAGGTAGAGAAGTAGAATAATGAAGAAAAAATTGGAAAAATGCAAAAAGAAAAACAAGGTACAGGGTTAAACATGAGGGAAAAAAAAAAAAAAGAAAAAAAATTTGCAACCACGTAGAGGGAAATGAAGTAGAGCTGAAAACTAGGACCTGGGTGGGGAAGGATAAAGAATAATAGTAAAAAGGACAAATGTATTATTAATAATAGTAGTTTTAAAACAGACAAAAACAAGCAAACTAAAAACCAGAAAAAAGAAAGAAAAAAAAGAAAAGAAAAAATTCGGGAGATGTAGGGCAGGGCACCCAGGCTCTGCCTGAGCATACAGACTGGGATGGAGTTCCTGCAGGCCCAGAAGGTGGGTGGGAGTGGGAGATGGCCACATCTCCATTCACCAAGGGGTGTGGGGTATAAGAATAACAAAGGGAATGTCGCACCTTTTCAGTCGTCCAGGTCCGGTGTGTCCTTGGGGTTATTGGTAAGCAGAATCTGTTCTTAAGCCCCTGGAATCTCGGAGAGCGCTCTCTCTTTAAATATCTAAAATGGTCAAACTGCTTGTAAACATTCAGAATGGTGGTGCCTTCCGGACAGGCAAAAGTCCACAGCTTAGCCCGCCTTTCTCTTCATTGGTGCTTTGCATTTTATTCCCCAGCCGCCAGAGCAATCCTCTGTGCAGTCCCTGGCTATCAGGGCTGATGTTTAGGTTAATTCTTAGGTCCTACCACCACTTGGCACTCTCTATGCTGTGTGTGCTGTGCCGTCAGGCTTGCTCAGGATTGCTCCCAGACCGCAGCTCCGTATGTCTCCTTTTTTGGCATTTGCATGCAAATTCTGCTAGTTGGGGTTTAGTCCACTTCTATATCCTTCACTTCAAGGCTCAGGGGTCCAGGATTATCTACTGTGCCTGTGTTAATTGGTTTCCCTTTTCTTTGTTGAAGAGGGTCTATGCAGTCTTTCTCCCTATTCCGCCATCTTACCGGAAGTGTCCTGCCATTTCTTTTAAATTTTAACCTTTTTATGAACTTTTGTTTTAGGTGTGTTTAATTTAAACAGCATATGTGACAATTTATAACCCATGCCTTTAAACAGGAATAGTTTACTAATATTTGTGATTTGTGAAATACTTTAAGTCTTTCATTATATTTTGTTATTTCTATTTTTCATGATTTTTTCTGAGTTCTTTGAAATCTTCTTTTGAATTCAGTGACATCTCTTCTGGGTTCTTTTTTTTTTTCTTCTACTTTCTTGGAATTTTACCTGTTTCTGTCTTCTACTGATTAAAAACCAAACTTGTTGCCATTGAGTTGATTTATGATTCACAGTGACCCTCTAGGACAAAGTAGAATTGCCCCATAGAGTTATCAAGGATGCAATCTTTACAGAAGCAGAGTGCCACATTTTTCTTCTGCAGAGCTGCTGGTGGGTTTGAACTTTTCTGTTAGCCAAGTGTTTAACCACCAGGGCTCTTTTTTCAGTGATTACCCTCTTTAAAAGTCATGTATACAAAACGTGTTTTGTATAGGTATGTATGTATATATGTATATCCTTCGTAGGTATGTAAGCCTTTACTCTCTTCTTGGGGTACCAGGAGTTGGGGCCAAGTTGATGGTAACTGATTTTTTGAACAATAAATAGGTGGACCTGAGAATGCTTTAATACCTGTGTCCTGAATTCCCTGCTTTGTGATAGTATTTTAACTCTGTTCAGTTTGTTTTTTTTAAAATTACCTACATTAGGTATTTTTTTATTAGTACTTTCACTATCAATGTATATTTACCTGTACTCATGTCACTGTTTTACTCACTGTAAAAGGGGATAATTTTCCCCTCTTATGGAGTTTGTCTTTCAAATTCTTTTAGTTCATGTTAGTTTGTAGTAAAATTTCCGAGGTTTTCTTTGACAGTATTTTTACTTTATCTTCTTTACTGAAAACATGTTTGCAGAGTTAAATTCTAAGTTTACTATTATTTTCTCTCTATACTTGTAAGATACAATTTTTCTGTCTTTTGATTTCCAGTTTTGTTATTGACATCCCAGCTTTCAGAGTAATTGTTGTTCTTTGTAAGTAATCTGTCTTTTCTCTCTGGCTGCTTATAAAGTGTTTTTTTTTATCTTTGGTATTCTGCAGTTTGATGATGATGTATATAGATTTGTGTTTAGTTTTTATCTTCCTTGAGTTGTTGTGTATGTGTATGTGTGTGCATGTATGCTTCCTGAATCTGAGGGGTTATATTTCTTCATTTTTGGGAAAGTCTCAGTCAGTATCTTTTTTTTTCTTTCTTTGTATATATTAGAAATTTTTTAAATTGTGATTTGGGTGTGAAAATTTACAGAGCAAATTCATTTTTATACAACAGTTCATACACATTTTGTTTCATGCCTTTGATTTCTCAGCCATTATCTTTTTGAAATATTTTTTCTTCTTCATTTTCTCTGTTCCTTCTTTATGAAACATGTAAGTAGAGGAATGTTGAGCTTTCTTTAGCCTGCATGTATTCTAGTCTCTCTTTCATATTCTTTCATTCATTTTCCTCTTTTTGCTATATTCACTACTTTTTTAGTAATATTTTCTGTTTGGAATTTCTCCTTTCTCATGAGTCTAACTACTCTTGAGTTTTCCATTTTGATTATTCTCATTTTCATTTTCATAAGTTCTATTAGGTTCTTTTATGAATTGCTTAGTCATTTTAAAAATAGTCAGTTGCTTCTTGCTCATATTCTTAATTTCATTTTCACTAATTTACACCTATTAAACATGCCCCTTTTCTGCTTTGTAGTTAATCACTCTAGTATCTGGAAGTCTTTTGGTCTACCTCTCTCATTGGTCTTTGTGGTATTACTTTTTTTCCCTATGTATTTGTGATTTTGTTGTGAACTCACATTTTTTAGTACTATATTTGTGGGAATTCTTTGAAGACCAGGTTGCGGGTCCTTTCCTTTAAGAAAATGTTTCTGTTTACTTTGGTCAGGCAGCTAGAGAGCTGCTATCCCAGGCCAACTTTATATTAATTATTGGCTTATGGACTTCCAGGCCATACAAAAAAGTGTGAATTCATGACAAGCTTGAGACAGGTGAGATTTTTCGATTTTATTTCTAAATTCAGTCTTTGTTGGCTTAATGTAGGCATCTGCAATCTAAACCCAAATAAGTATGGATGGCCTGACCTGGTACTCAGACATTATATGTATGTATGTGTGTGTGTGTGTGTGTGTATAATATTCATTTAATAAAAAGATATAATTAAAATTTAAATGGCTGAGTTGAACTTTTAGAGTAAAGTATACTTAGGAGCTCTGGTAGCGTAGTGCTTAAGGCACTTGACTGCTAACCAGAAGGCTGGTGGTTCAAACCCACCAGCTGCTCCCCACAAAGAAGGTTGGGTAATCTACTTCCGTAGTAATACCACCTCAGAAACCCAAGGAGGGGTCACTTTGGGTTGCATCCAACTCCATGGCAATGGTTGCGTTTTTTGCATATGTATAAATGTTAATAGAAGAGATGAACCAATAAATATGATTTACAAAGTTTCATGTGGAGTTCTCTTTGCATTCGTATATCTTGACTTTGACATGTTAGCAAGAGAGACCAGTCCCTGGAGAAGGACATCATGCTTAGTAAAGCAGAGGGTCAGCAAAAAAGAGGATACCCTCAACAAATGGATTGTCACAGTGGCTGCAACGATGGGCTCAAACAAAATGATTGACCAGGCAGCACTTCATTCTGTTGTACATGGAGGTCGCTATTAGTCAAAATCAACGTGATGGCACCTAACAACAATAAAAGGTGGTATTTTGTGTTTTTAGTGCTGAAGCTTCCTGTTTTCCTATAGCCTCATACAGACAGATACGATTTCATATACCTTATAGAGAGTCAGACATCTAAACTGTAAGGAAACCCTTAACTATGTGAAGGTCCTATTGAATATGAGATATATTTAGAGTGATATATACTGTGGGTGGGCCAATATTTCAATACCATTTCCTTTTACATTTTAGGCTAATGCTGATGTCATTGTACAATGTGAGCATCAATTTGAAAGGCTTAAAGTACATCAGTGAGAGTCCAGGATTCATCCCTTTGCTGTGGTGGCTTCTTAGTGGTAAGTGGATTTACATGTACAGGTTATAAACATGTATAGCTTATATACCCGCTACTCTGAATTATCTTAAGCAGAATTTTACTTGCATGTGATATTAATGATATTGTTCAATAATTTCTGCATTCCGTTGGATTACCTTTCTTTGGAATGAGCATGTATATGGTATCTTCCAATCAGCTGGGCAGGTTGCTGTCTTCCAAATTTCTTGGCAAAGACTAGTGGCACTTCCAGTATTGCATCCATTGGCTGAAACATCTCAATTGGTATTCTGTCTATTCTAGGAGCCTTGTTTTTTGCCAGTGCCTTCAGTGCAGCTTGGACTTCTTCCTTTAGTACCATCGGTTCTTAATAATATGCTACCTCCTGAAGTGGTTGAACATTGACCATTTATTTTTGATACAGTAATTCTGTGTATTCCTTCCATCTTTTGATACTTACTGTGTTGTTCACTGTTTTGCCTATGGAATCCTTCAGTATTGCAACTGAAGGCATGAATTTTTTCTTTAGTTCTTTCAGCTTGACAAATGCCAAGTGTATTCTTCCTTTTTGGTTTTCTAACTCCAAGTCTTTGCACATTTCTTTATAATACTTTGTCTTTTTAAGCTGCCCTTTGAAATCTTAATGTTCAGCTCTTTTGTGTCGTCATTTCTTCTGTTTGTTTTAGCTGCTTTACATTCAAGAGCAAGTTTTAGAGTCTCTGAAATCCATTTTGGTCTTTTCTTTCTTTCCTGTCTTTTTAATGACCTTTTGCTTTCTTCCTGTGTGATGTCCTTGATGTAGTAACTTGTCTGGTCTTCAGTCATTAGTGTTCAATGAGTGAAATCTTTTCTTGAGATAGTCTCTAAATTTAGAGGGATTGTGCTCAAATCATACTTTGGCTCTTATAGACTTGCTTTAATTTCCTTCAGTTTCAACTTTGAACTGGCATATAAGCAATTGATGGTCTGTTCTGGAGTTGGCCCCTGGTCTTGTTCTGAATAACATTGAGCTTCTCCATTGTCTCTTTCCATAGATGTAGTTGATTTGATTCCTGTGTATCCTATCTGGTGAGGTCCATGTATTGTCACTGTCTATATAGTGGAAAAATGTATTTGCAATGAATAAGTCATTAGTCTTATAAAATTCTATCATGTAACCTTTGGCATTGTTTCTGTCACTAAGGCCATATTTTCCAAGTATGGGTCCTCCTTCTTTGTTTCTAACTTTCTCATTCCAATCATCAGTAATTCTCAATGCAACTTGACTGTATGTTTGATCAATTTCAGTCTGCATAAATTGGCTTAAATCTTTAATTTCTTCATCTTTGGCTTTAGTAGTTGATGTATAAATTTGAATAATAGTCATATTAACTAGTCCTCCTGGAAGGCATATGGATATTATACTATCACTGACAGCATTGCATTTCAGGATAGATCTGAAATGTTCTTTTTAATGATGAACGCCATGCTGTTCTCTACAATTTTATCATTTCCAGCATAGTAGACCATATGATTGTCCAATTCACATTGGCCGTTACCAGTCCATTTCAGCTCACTAACGCCTAGTATATCTATCTTTATGCATTCTATTTCATTTTTGACAACTTCCAATTTTTCTTGATTCATACTTTGTACATTCCATGTTCTGATTATTAATGGATGTTTGCAGCTGTTTCTTTTCATTTGAGTCATACTACAAGAGCAGATGAAGGTCCTGAAAGCTTTACTCCATCTATGTCATTAAGGTCAACTCTACTTTGAGGAGGCAGCTCTTTCCCAGTTGTATTTTGAGTGCCATCCAGTTGGAGGGGCTCATCTTCTGGCACTATAAAAAACAATGTCCCACTGCTATCCATAAGATTTTCACTTACCAATTTTGAAAAAATTTTATTTGCTTTGGGTGCAAATTTACAGAGCAAAATTTGTTTTGCATTCAACAGTTAGTGTACATTTGATTTCACGCCCCAATTACCATCCCCTACCATAACAAACTCTCCTCCCCTCCTGTCCTTGTGACTACCTCCTCCCTGTGCCCTTCTTAACTATGTGCTCCTGTCTGTCCAGCTTTCCCTCTATGTGAATGCTGCCCCTCTGGTGCCCCATGGCCAATTGCTCTAATGGGTGTATCTCCCTAGAGGAGGTGGGTGCATTGTCCTGGGGTAGGTGTTCTGCATGTAGTTCTTTTTGTTGTTTGGCCAGTCCACAGGAGTAAGTCCAGTTCTAGGCACGAAGGATAACCTGCGGCTATAGTCTTGGGGGTTCCACTAGACTCTATCCAGCCAGTAATTTTGGTCATTTTTGTATTTTGTTCCACATCTTCCCTCCCACTCTATCCAGGATCTCAGTTTTGATCTCTTTCTGAGTGGCTGGCGTTGGTAGCCAGCCCCCATCTAGTTCTTCTAGCCTTGGGGTCCATCATATCCTTGGATTAATTGTTTCCAGATACCTTTGGTTTTCCTCACTCTTCTTTGTTTCAGATGAGAGGAGACCAATAGTTCTTAGATGGCCACTCAAAAGCTTTTAAGACCTCAGTTGCTACTCACCAAAGTAGATTGTGGGACAAGACTTTTATATACTATGTTGTGCTGATTGAGCTTGGTGTCCCCTGAACTATGGTCAGGCCCAGTGATTCTCTCTCTTAGGGTGTTTGGTTGTCTCTGTGAGGTTACTCCAACTCTGTCTTCTGTTGCTTCTGTAATGTGTGTGGCTAATTTTGTAGCACAAGTGCATATGTAAGATTATCTTCAGCCAAATTTATCCTTGGTCTAGGGTATATTCCTGTTTGCCAACCCCCACCTGATCTTCTCACTTGTCTATGCCTTTATCTGTAGCCTGGTGTTTGGTGTTACTGGCAATGCAGTATTGTGCATATACTATTATTTGCCTCTGTTGTGTCTATCTTATGTGCAAGTTCCATTGTCTTTCCTTTCCACAATGTCATCATGCTGGTCACAGACTCTTTCCATACCATCCCTCTCCTTGCCCAAATCAACATGTGACCCCCAACTAGTCAGAAATTTTCCCCCCTCTTCCCTCCCATCCCCAGTAACCAACAAAGTGAATTTCCTTCCCTGAGTAAACCTTTCCTTGGCTTTTTATAGTAATGGATTCATACAGTATTTCTCCTGTGATTGACTTATTTTACTTGACATAATGTCCTTCAAATTCGTCCATGTATACTTCACGTATACTTCATTATTCTTTAATGTTGCATAGTATTTCATTGTGTGAATGTACCATTGTTTGATGGGCATTTAGGTTGTTTCCATCTCTTTACTATAGTGAATTGTGCTACAATGAACATGGGTGTACATATGTCTGTTCGTGTCCGGTCTCACCTCTTTAGGATATATTCCTAGTAATGGAATAGCTGGATCAAATGATATTTCTATTTTCAGTTTTTTAAGGAAACACCATACCATTTTTCACAATGGTTGTACAATTTTGCAGTCCCACTAGCAGTGTATGAAAGCTCCAATCTCTCTGCAATCTCGCCAGCATTCATTATTTTCTGTCTCGTTGAACTTCGCTGTTATTGCTGGGGTGAGATGGTATCTTTGTTGTTTTGACTTCCATCTCTCTAATGGCTAATGAAAAGCTCTGGTGGCATAGTGCCTAAGGCATTTAACTGCTAACCAGAAAGCTCGTGGTTCCAACCCACCAGCCACTCCTCGGAAGGAAGGTTGGGCAATCTACTTCAGTAGTCATACTGCCTCAGAAACCCAAGGAGGGGTCACTATGGGTTGAGTCCAACTTGACTACAGTGAGTTTGGTTTGTTGGCTAATGATCATGAGCATTTCCTCAGTGTTTGTTGGCTGCCAGTATAACATCTTTAGTGAAGTGTCTGTTTTTGTCCCTTGCCCATTTTTGAAATGGATTTTTTGTCTTTGTGGTGTTAAAGTTTTCTATAAATTTTGGAGATAAGTACTTTGTCAGATATGTCATAGCGAAATATTTTTTCCCAATCTGTAGGTTCTCTTTTTACCCTTTTGGAGAAGTCTTTCAATGAACATAAGAATTTAATTAATTTATTTTTTATGAGATTCACCCAACTGATGTGTCTGTCTGTCTTCAGTTTATTCATTTTCTTTTCTTTCTTTCTTATTGTGATTTGGGTGAAGGAATTTAATTTTTAAAAGATCCCAGTCATCTAGCTTCTCTTCCACTGCCTGTGCATTTTGGGTTATGCTTGATGGGCTATTTATGATAGTAAATTAGGACCCCTAGATATGCACCTGTTTTATCTTCGATGAGCTTTATAGTTTGGGTTTTACATTTAAGTCTTTGATCCAGCTTGAGTTTGTTTTTGTGTAAGGGGTGAGGAATGGGTCTTGTTTCATTTTTCTAGAAGTGGATATCCAATTTTGCCAGCACCATTTGTTAAAGAGGCTGTCTCTCCCACATTTAATGGGTTTTGGTCCTTTGTCAAAGAGAGGTAGGTCTATTTCTGGGTTTTCGAATCTGTTCCATTGGTCTGTCTGCCTATCATTGTACAAATACTATGCCTCCGTTCACCAAGAGGGTGTGAGGTATAAGAGTAACAAGGGGAATGTTGCACCTTTCCAGTCTTCCAGGTTCAGAATGTCCTTGGGGTTACTGGCAAGTGGAGCCTGTTCTTAAGTCCCTGGAATCTGGGAGAATGCTGTCGCTTTAAATATCCAAAATGGTCAAGCTGCTTGTAAACATTCAGAATGGCTGTGCCCTCTGGACAGAGAAAAGTCCACAACTCAGCCCACCTTCCTCTTTGCTGCTTTCCCTTTTATTCCCCAGCCACTAGAGCAGTCCTCAGTGCAGTCCCTGGCTAGCAGGTCAGAGTTTCAGGTTAATTCTTAGGTCCTACCACCACTTGGCAATATCCAAGGTGTCTGTGCCATGAGGCTTGCTGCCAGACTGCTGCTCTGTATGTCTCCTTTTTTGGTGTTTTCATGCAAATTCTTCTGTTAGTTGGAGTTTAGTCCACTTCTATATCCTTCCCTTCAAAGTTTGGGGGTCCAGGATTAGCTTCTGTATCTGCGTTAATT